CCTGAGGTCATGGCCATACCTTTTGAGACTGACGCAGCTCAGCTTGTTGTGTCCCTTGTCTCTTCAGCTTCTGCTTCCTATGGCCTCTCGGCCCTCGGGCCTCACGCCCATATCTGCCCTGCTGGGGCAAGTGTTCCAAAGCTCAGTAGCTCCACCGGTAAGTGCCTGGAGGCACCCCACTCCGCCAGGAAGCCTTCTGCACACAGGCACTCAGCACCCTCGCTCCGTGGGTAGGCAAGCCTAGCTCTACAGATAAGTGCCCAGCGGCGCCCCACTCTGCCAGGAAGCCTCCTGCTCACAGGCATTCAGCTCTCTCGCTCCGTGGGTCGGCTCCAGCGCCATCTTTCACCGGTATCCTGGTTCTGCTGCTGTTGGTTCTCTGCTGCTTCTTGCTGCTGTAGGTTCTCTGCTGCTGCTGGTCCTCTGTCACTGCCGCATGTCTATCCATTCACAGTTTTAAAACCACTTCCACATTTTAGTTATCTGTTAGAGCAGCACCCCACTCTCGGTACCAAATTCTGTCTTAGTCATCTAGTGCTGCTATAACAGAAACACCACAAGTGGATGGTTTTAACGAAGACAAGTTTATTTCCTCACAGTTAAAGTGAGCTAAAAGTCCAAACTCGGGGCGTCAGCTCCAGGGGAAGGCTTTTTCTCTCTGTCGGCCTTCTTCTCTTCGGCATTCCCCTGGACTAGGAGCTTCTCCACGCAGGGACCCCGGTCCAAAGGACGCACTCTGCTCCTGGCACTGCTTTCTTGATGGTATGCGGTCCCCTGTCTCTCTGCTCACTTCTGTCTTTTATATCTCAAGACATTGCCTCAGGATACAATCCAATCTTGTAGACTGAGTCCTGGCCTTACTAACACAACTGCCACCCATCCTCCCTCATTAACATCACAGAGGCAGGATTTACAACATATAGGAAAATCACACAGTACCAGGAATCATGGCCTAGTCAAACTGATACACACATTTTTTGGGGGACATAATTCAAACCATGACACTCTACTTTTAACATTTGTTGGTATCTGTGTGAGCAATGAGTGGCCACATAAGGGAGTTGCTTACGTAACAGCTCCAGGGGCCTCAAGCCCCCACCTGCCACTGACCAGCAGCGTGATCTCCAGCCACTCTCTTTTCTGAGTTAAAATATGAAATGAGGAGATGAGATTAAATGATTTTACAGGTCTTTTCCTACTCTGGGAAACCCTGGTGTCATAGTGGTTAAAACGTCAGCAGTTTGAACCCACCAGGCGCTCCTTGGAAACCTTATGGGGCAGTTCTACTCTGTCCTATAGGGGCGCTATGAGTCCTAATTGACTCGACAGCAGCAAGTTTTGTTTTTTTTGGTTCCCACTCAGGAATTCCAGGATTTCTCACCTGATACCTATAACATTCAGTCATTTATCTGCATTAAATCTCCTTTTCAAAACATATTCTTGGTGATGGGTGTCTTCTCTTTGATGCTTTCAGTTCCAAGAGTCCCTCCCCCTATTTTAGTCTTTAAAAATAATTATTGTATAGCCACTCAATCATGGTTTTATGTAAGACCCTGTCAGGAGTGGAGGATATGTATACAAAGATGAGTTAGACCACATTAGAAGAACAATGGAGTACAGAAGAAAAATGAAATTGAGATAGTTTTTAAAGTATGGGGTGACTTCAAAAATATTGCATTCTAGAAAGAACAGAGCAGTACAAGAAAGAAGACAACTGCGGGTGATGTCTGGGTAGATGCAGCAGTGAAGTGGGAGGAGATGTGAGTAGAAACCTAGGCCATGGGATATAAATGACCGTGTCATGAAATTTATGCAAAACTACCTCTATTTTCCTGCAGGGCTTCTAGACTAAGATGAACTAGGAAGAAAGGCCTGCCAATCTATTTCCAAAAATTAGCCAGTGAAAACCCTCTGGATCACAAGTCTGATCCAAAAGTCATCACAGGGGTGGCACAGGACGAGACAGCATTTCATTCGGTTGTGCATGGGGTTGCCATGAGTTGAAGGGCTGACTCAACAGCAGCTAACCATTAACAACCTCTATTTGTAATTATAGACTCTTAGAAGGAATCCTTAAGAAGGGATTTCATAGATCCTCTGATGCAAAATTTCACCCTTTCAGATTACCTAGGCCCAAGACTCATTCAAGGAGAAACTTAGCTTGAATAATTTCAGCGAGAGGCACTCTCTGCCGCTGGTGGCAACTTCAGTTGTTAAATACTTTGTAACAAATATACTCCTTGCTAGGACCATAAGTATATGACTACATAACTTTTGACAACCAAATGTGTAGATTTTTCTAAGCAGCTTTAGATGAAAAAATTGTTTAGAATAGTGTAAGTCATGAACTTCAGTCACAAAGACCCAACTGTAAATGTTCAAGATAGCTGTATTTTGACCTTGTACCAATTAAAAACTTTTAATCACTATTAGCTCAGGCATCAAAGTTTCTGGAAATTATAACCAAGTAATTGAAATGTGTATGAGATTATGAGGCGAGACATGACCAGAAAACGGCCAATTCTCTATATGCTTTTACCCTCATTACTCAGTGCTAAAAGTACACTTACCTCCTATACGTGACAAACGTCATTATCTAGGTTATCTCCTCGTTTAATTTTGAAAAAATTCTGTTTTTTATGTCTTCTATAATGTCTATCTTTATATTTCCTATCTCAGCTTTTCAGTCCACGCTGTTCAAAAACCAAAAGGCTGGCTGAGGACAATCCTTAGCACAATGTTAGAGAAAACAAAGAATTTAACAAAATGCACTCTGGTAATAATAACATTTAATGTCTATCCACACTGGGAAAATACTGAGTTTTCATCAATCCTCATCTTTTCCCGGTGAAGTAAGTCTTATTTTGCCCCAATTTTTCCACAGATCCTATAATTTTAAGGTCATATGAGAAGCTACACTTCTGTGTTTTATACAGTGAGAGAAGCGATGCATCAAAAGGTTATATACTCACAAAACTGTGAAGTCTAAACCTGGCATTGGAGTCTATCTCATTTTCACCTCTGTTTATAAAACATTTTGCTGTTAGGAATGGTGAGTCGCTGCTATGATACATCCCCATAGTTTGCTAACACTAAGACAACTGAAATCAGCTTCCTCAACTCCACAAAGTTGAAAAGTCCTGCTATGTAGGAACATTTTTCTTTCAATTTAATAAGACTAAATCTAACAAAGAAACGGGGTGTGAGTTTTACCTCTGGCAACCACTTGTACCCAAGATGTCTAATAGGTTCCTTCCAATGGTTTTTTTGTCTTGAATATGTACTTGCAAACCCCCAACTTTTCTGTAGCACAAAGGTATATATACACTTTCATACACCACATTTGAGCAATTTCATCAAACAGAACACTTGTCAGCATCACAGCATCCTCTGTCACTGCCTACTGCCAACTAAATATTTATGTTTATTTTGGTAGGAACCATTCTAATCTGCTATAGCATTAGCAATTTGGGAGCTGATTAACTTGTATACATTGTCACTAATTCCAGGAAACATAATCATTAGAACACATGCTCCATTTGGAAAACACATAGCATCCACCTGTGTTTAGGTTTTCTTCAAGCGAACAGGTTTGCAATAAATTTAGGTTATCTAACACAGGTGAATTCAGAGTCTTCTCTTGAAGCTTTAAAGTCCAAAGCAGTCAGAAGCCTCCCTCTTACCTGGACGCTGGTTAGAGTCGTGTACTGGTAAGCTCTGACAATCAGGTAATTAGCTTCCACATCTGCTAGCCCCAGCAGGATGTACTTCCACCATTTTCTTTTCAAAATATATAAAAGGTTATCACTACCTGGGTGAAAGAAATCTGAGTGAGTACATGTTACTTGCAAATGACACCATCCACGTTAATTTGGAGATTGAAAAGTCAAAGCAAGGGTTTCTTGTGTATTTTTAATGTGATCCCTCTTATTTTCCATTGCTCATAATCCAAACTCCTACACAGCTTAGCAGAGTCATTTAAATTTTTTTCTAGTATAAGAATCCAAGTTAAGATGACATCATAGACCAAGTGTTCGGTGAAAGCACCAGAGAGAAAGTAAGTAGGAGGAAAATGATTAAATTTCCCTTTCCCATTGTAACAGAAATATAATGTCCGGATACGGGTTTGGATGTTGCCGTTCCTGACAAGCCACAGAATAACCTTGGAAATGAAATACTTTCCTATGTCTTCATTGGTTATTTAACCTCTATTCATGGGCATGTGGTCATTCTTTTGGAAGAGATGTGCCTTTAAGTAAAAATTAACTCAGTGATACACTTGGAAAAAAGGCTTAGTGGCACTATTTAAAAAAAAAACCTTTTCTACCCAAATTCTATATATTCAAAGTCAACCACTATTCACTACCTCAAAGTAGCTAGCGTAACTGGAAATATAGATTCGGCACATATATGAGAAGGCTTTATGGTAAGAAACCTACAAGGAAATAAAGGTAGTGAGAATCAAAATCAACTGATTATCATTAAAACCCAATTAGTAGGAACATCTTGAAACACAGGGTTAGTCTTCCTCAATGTAGGGTGGCATAGAAGGTACTTGGCAACCTCCCCTTAGGGGTCACCACGCTAACGTATTAGTGAAACACACTGATTTCCTTGAGGTCAGTGCTTACAGAGAAGAACAATGTCCAGGGCTATAAACCATCTCTATTTCCAACTCCTAAGGTCTGTCAAATGTGATGTTTGCCCCTTCAGATATTTCTCCACTTTAAAAATAAGTTATGTATTCTGACAAAAAGGAATGCCACTGATATTGCAGGGCAATGGGTTTTTCTTTTTATATGGCCTTTCTGGCCACGATCTTGTAACTCCCATAAAATGATGGGATGGGACTATGCAAATAAAGCGTGCAAAATTCTTGCTGGGATTGGCTGGGACTATGCAAATAAGGTGCCTGTGACCCACCAAAGGGATTAGTCAGTGTTGCCATCCCATTAGGCTTAAAAAGAGCCAAGCCTACAGGGTGAGGAGGGATCTCAGTACCATCAAGAAGGGCCAGGAGAGGAGCGCATCCTTTGGACGCAGGGTCCCTGTGCTGAGAACCTGCTAGACCCAGGAGACAGAAAGCTATAACACCGGAGCTAACGCTGGAGAGCTGTAACATCAGAGAGCTGTTAACACCAGAGAGCTGTAACACTGGAGGTGGCAGGCGGCCATGGGATAGCCGTGGCACGGGATGGCTACAGCACAGGACTGGCAGATGCTTGCAGTGGGTTTCCTGACCCATCGAGCCAGAGAGCTGAGCAACTTCAGGCAGGAGGCTTCCTGGTGGAGTAGGGTGCCCCCGGACACTTATCCATGAACTAAAGACCTTAACACTTGGCTGAGCAGAGCAGAGACCAGGCCCGAGCAGGGCCCGGCAGCAGAAGTCTGCCTGCTGGCACAGCCCAGTAGAAGCTGTTGTGATCAATGAACTGTATCCTGAGTTGTTCCTGTTACTTCCAAGTTGATCCTGACCCTGAATTGTAACCTATTACTTCTCTAATAAACCCCATAATTGTGAGTATGGTCTGTGAGTTCTGTGTAGCCACTGCAACAAATTATCAAACCCAGCAGGGAAGTAGAGAGTGCCGGTGGGAGGGACAGCTGGTGTCAGAATTGGTAAAAAGACTTGGAGGGTGGAGGTGTGTTTGACCTCCACCTATAGGAATCAGCTTCGGGCTGATGGTGATCTTGATTCTCTCTCCTCCTCCTGAAGTTAGATGAGGTCTGATGCCACCATGTTACATATATATTAGAGTTCATATTAAAAGAGGATTAACAAACCCAGTTTTGTTAGGTGCCGCTGAGTCAATTTTGACTCATAGCAACTCCATATGACAGAGTAGGAATGTCTCACAGGGTTTTTTAGGTTGTAATCTTTACAGGGTCGCTATAAGTAGGAATCAACTTGAGAGCAATGGGTTTGGTCTTTGGTTTAATCCTTATAGGAGCAGATCTCCAAGTCTTTCTCCCATGGAGTGGCTGGGTGGGTTTGAACTGCCAACCTTCCAGACAGCAGCCAAGTGCTTAACCCTTGCACTACCAGTACTAGTGCTTTTATTGCAGGCTTCAAATGTACTGATAATGCTCTTCTCTCTTGAGAAGGTTGTTATGATTAGCAGCCATAACATAGAGCAGTGCTGAGGGCCTGGGCTCTGTGGCAGGCTTACCTAGGTTGGAGTCCAGGCTCCACCAGTAACTCCGTATGAGACTTAGAGTAAGTCTTAACTGCTATTTGTTTCTGCTTCCTCGTCTATAAAGTGGGGATAATAGTAATTCCTGAGTTGTTGTGGGCTTCAATGAGTTCATCCATAACTTAAACAAGTTAAAATGATGACTGGTACAAAAATTTTAGTCAGAATCTAGTTTTTCCCATTTTTGGAAAAATTTTGTAGCTCGCTAGAAATAATTCTATGATGGTTCTAAAATAGCTTAACCAACCAGTGATAAAAATAAAATTAAAAAAAAAAACCATTGCCATCGAGTCAATTCCAACTCATAGTGACCCTAAAGGACAGAGTAGAACTGCCCCATGGGGTTCCCAAGGCTGTAATCTTTATGGAAGCAGACTGCAACGTCTTTCTCCTGAGGAGTGGCTGGTGGGTTTGAACCATCAACCTTTCGGTTAGCAGCTGAGTGCATAACCACTTCATCATCAGAGCTCCCCAACCAGTGATAAAGATGTTAATTCCTTATCTTTGTTTCTCTGACAACACAGACTTGATAGACATAAAACTGATGTTCCATTTAGCATTCTCCACTTAGTTGGAAATACATATTTTGGGGAGTGGGATTCTTAACTTTTTAAGTGTTTTTAATATTTCCTCTTAATTTTATCAACCTCAGGGAAAAAAATAAACCTAACTTGTAATTGTGTATGTGCGTATATATATATACATATATATATATATTTTAATACTAGGCTAACATCAACTTGGTGCTACTTATTTTAATCAACAATTTCAGAGCATTATCCATAAATCTCTAGTCACTATTTTCATAGACTCTAGAAAAGTATTATACTTTTCTAATACTGTTTATAAAAACAGCTATAGTTTCCAGTTCTTGATTTTGTCCTATGCCTTATTATTAAAATATCCAGAAGCCAACATTTTTTATGAAATTAATTTTGTTGAAAAAGAATTCCCACATTTGACATACCTGATCGAAATGCCAGCATCACTGTATAAATTACAAACAGCAAGCAATAGTTGATAAAGCTCTGTAGCATCGGGGTATTCACTTCGTATTTTTCTGCCAAATACTGGCTGGTGATGGCCGTCCCACATATACACAAGGACAACATCTGACCCAGAGCAATTGTTTTCAAAATATTCCTAGAAAATGAAGGAGGAAATCAGAACAATTTGAAAATAAGTTATACCTTTATTACACACACATACATTTATTTTAGTGCTAAACACAAAGGGAAATGCTAATTATTCCAGGAGGTTCTTTATCTCATGTCATTGCTTACATTATATGCACCGAAACTTAAGTGTTACATTTTGAGAGACTACATTTTTATTCTTTTTTACATTCCTGATTATCCTCCCCAACTCCCAAAAAATATACATTCCCCCATCTCATGGACTATCCATTTAGAGATCTTTTAAAATAATGTTTTATTGTGTTTTCAGTGAAAGTTTAGACAGCAAATTAAGTTCTCATTTGACAATTTCTACATAAGTTGTTCAGTGACACATTAGTTACGTTTTTCACAATGTGTCGACATTCTCATTAATTGGGTTCTGGTTGTTCTAGTTTCCCTGTCCCCCCTTGTCTTCTCATCTTTGCTTTAGAGTGATTGTTGACCTCTTGGTCTCAGATGGTTTTTTTAATGGAGCCCCACACTCACAGGTAATATCTTTTATTTTGTGTGCCAAACTGCTATTTTGCTAAAAGGTGACCTCGGGATAATTTCGGTTCAAGGTTTAAAGAGTATCTCAGGGCAATAGTCTCAGGTAGTCCTCCGGTCTCAACTGGTCCAGTACGTCTGGACTTTTTGAGAATTTGAGTTCCGTTCTGCATTTTTCTCCTCTTCTATCCAGGGCCACCTATTGTGGGCCCAGTCAGAACTTCAGTCAGTAGTGGTGGCTGGGTACCATCTAGTTCTTCTGGTCTCAGGGTAGATGGAGCTGTGGGTTGTGTAGGCTATTAGCCCTGTAGACTAGTTTCTTCTCTGAGACTTTGGTCTCCTTTCTCTTTTGCTCCTAACAAGTAGAGACCAATAGTTGTATCTTAGATCGTCACTTTTTGATGACTCAGCTATGGCATATACTATTTAAAGTGTGTGTGTGTATGTGTATGTGTGTTATTTTTTAAAACTCAGCTGTAACTCTAGTTTTAAATTCTCTCTTTTTGTGTTTAATATTTTTTCATCCTTTCATTCTCCCCAAAACTTGAGAGTTCTTCAACTGCTCCTCTACAAGTAGTGGTTTTCAATCCTGCCTGCACATAACCATCACAGAACTTTTAAAAATTCCAGTGTCCAGGCTGCAGCCCAGACCAATTACATCATAATCCCTGGGAGTGGGTCCCAGGCATCAATGATTTTCAAAGCTCCCCAGCTGATTCCAATGTGCACCCAAAACTGTGATGTGTAGAAAATAAGACCCTGACCCTGCCTTTGACATTGGAGGAGAGAGGCACTTTAATCAAACCACCAACTATTAATCAGCAGGCTATTTTAAATCCTGTAACAGTGTGCAAGCAGAGTGCTATGAGATCATACAGGTATTACTGATTAATTCTGAGTGAGGGAGTTAGCGGGCAAAGGAGAAACTGGAAAAAGTTTCATATAGAAGAAGCCATTTTTAAGTTAGGTTTGGAAGTAAATAAAGGACTTCTAGAGGAAGAAGTAGGAGTCCCTGGCTAGTGCAAGCAGAATGCTTGGCTGCTAACCAAAAGGTTGGAGGTTTGAGTCCACTCTGAGGCACCTTGGAAGGCAGGCATGGCAATCTACTTCTGAAAAATCAGCCACTGAAAACCCTGTGGAGCACAGTTCTACTCTGACTCACATGGGGTCACCATGAGCTGGAATCGACTGGACTGTAACTAGTTAGAGGAAGAGGTAAGGAGAAGGGGATCCAGGAAAAGAAACTGTAGGACCAAATGCACAGAGACACAAACATGCAGGGGTGGGTTCAGGAAACATCCAGAAGCCCAGTGTGCCCAGGTATAAGGGCAAGAGCAACAAGTGGTGGTCAACGTTCTGACTGGAATCACAACAGAGGGACCTGGCCAGAGTGGGAGAAAAACTGCAAAACAAAATTCAAATTCACAAAAAAGACCAGATGTACTGGTCTAACAGAGACTGGAGGAACCCCTGAGACTATGACCAAGACACCCTTCTGACCAGGAACTGAAGCCATTCCCAGAGACCACCTCCCAGCCAAACAATAGACAAGCCCTTAAGATAAACAATAACACCGGAGAGGAACATACGCCTTAGAACAATTATAGGAGATCAAAAGGGCAACATCTGCCCAAAACCAAAGATGAGAAGGCAGGAAGGGGTAGAAAATCAGGACTAAAGGAAACAGGGAACCCAGGGCAGAAATGGGGAGAATCCTGACACACTGTGGGGAATGAAACCAAGGTCATTTTTTTTTGTACAAACTATCGAATGGGAAACTAACTTGCTTGTAAACTTTCACCTAATGTACAATTTTAAAAAAAAAAAAGAAAAGAAAAAAATAAGTGGTGGGTCAAGAGGCTTGGAAAAGAAGATTGAGGCCAGATCATAAAAGACTTTGAATTACACACTGGGATATGACCTTTATGCCAAAGACAGCTGGCAGCCCTGAATATTTCTGAAAAGAGGGTTTTATGAGCCTAACTCTGGTGGCTGTGGGGAGGATTCACAAGAAGGGAATCCAGGCAGAGAAACCAGTTAGAAGGTTAATACAAAAATACAAGTCATAGTGAGATCTGAACTAAAGCCATATCTATGTGGATGGAAAGTAGAGAATGATATGAAACATGCCACAGAGGTAGAATGTACAAGACCTGGTGACTGACTAAATCTCAGCAGTAGGAGTTAAAAGTAATCCCTGGGTTTCTAGATTGGATGACTGGATGGATATAAGACTGCTGATCAAGACAGGGATTACAGGAGGTGAAGCAGGTTTGGGCAAGGGGAGGGGAGTGAGTTCAATCTGAAAGCAGTAGAGTTTGAGATAGCTGGGGCATTCAAGTGAAAAACAATGCAAGGTTTCTGGCAGACACACTCTAAGGTGGTCCTCAGTGAATGTCTACTCATAGTATTAATGTCCTTGTATAAACCCCTCCTCTTGAGTGTAGGTGGGATCTGTGACTTGCTTCTAACCAACACAATAAAGGTTTTAATCATGTCATTTCTACGAATATGTTACATAAGACTGTAACTTCTGTCTTGCTAGCAAATTCTACTGACTCTCTCCGTTGCTGGCTTTGATGAAGCAAGCTGCCATATGGAGAGGCCCACATGGCAAGGAAACTGAGGGTGGCCTTAGGCCAACAACCAGCAAGGAACTGAGGCCCTCCGTCCAACAGTCCACAGGGGAATGAATCTTGCCAAAACCCTTGTGATCTTGGAAGCAGATCTATCCCCAGTCAGTCCTTCAGATGAAACCCCAGGCCTGGTTGACGTGGTGTCTGCAGCCTTGTGAGACACCCTGAAGTTGAGGACTCGGTTAAGCCGTATCAAGATTCCTGATCCCTAAAAACTGTGAGCTAATAAATGTGTGTTGACTTAAGCCACTAAGTTTGTAGTAAATTGTTATGCAGCCAGAGATAACTCATGTAAGGTTGTAACTTTGGAGTTCAGAGAGTTTAACCATATCTGTTTTGTTCTCCACTACATATCCAGTGCCTGGCACTTTGCAGTCATTCAATATATTATTTGTTGAATGAATGGATAAATGTAAGTGGTAAAGAAATTACCATATATGCCCAAATATATGGCAACTTCAAATGTAAGACACTTCTTTTTCCCAGTGAGGTGGAACAGTCAGAGACAGGTAAGAAATTATGAGAGTACCATGACACACAGATTAAGAGTAACAAAACATTTTAAGAAGGAAGGGGTCATCAATACCATCATGTCAAAAACTGCAGAGAGTGATGGAAAAAATTGGAACAAATAAGTGTGATGGTTGAACATGATGAACATAAGCTGATATCACTGAACCCTACATGTGAAGAATGCAGAAATGGCAAATGTTTTCTTACATATATATTTAACACAATTAAAGAAAACACAAAAACTGTGGAGAGAAGAGGTGTTATGATAGCTAAAGAGACACAGCTGTATTGGCAAACTGAAGTCGCCAGAGATCTCTAAAGGAAAATGTTCTGTTACTGGTAATGTCCAAAGTCAGATTCTAGTGAGTTGAGTGAGTAAAAGAACATAAACACAGTAGGTGAAGTTGTAGATGTAAATGAGATCATTAAAGCATACAACTGGCAAGTGAGAAGAAAAGATGGTAAGAAACACTCTGGGAAACAGCAACATTTAAGCGGTCAGAGGAGGACGAGGAAGTAGAGATATAGATGGAGGGGCATGGTCAGAGAACTGCGGAGAGAACTAGCAATGAAGAACATGCTGGAGGCCAAGGGAAGATGGAGTTTCAAGGAGAAAATACTCTCTAGTTTGAACTGTAGCAACTGTCTCTAATAGCAATTCCTCCTCCACTCTCACTCTCCCCAAATCTAGTCTCCACTTCAAGTCATCTTTCTCAATGTTAATCTGATGGGATCATTCTCATGTCTAAAACCTTTCACTAGTTCTCCTTTGCCGTGAGAGTAAAGCCAAACTTTAAAATGCCCTACAAGGCACTCCACTATTTGACCCCTGCCTAGCTCTCTAACCTCATCTTGGACTTCCCTCGCACAACTTATTTATTTTTTAATACATTTCTTATAAGACATTTAAAATATAATGGTAGAATGTATAATCAACATATATCTATGTATCTACCCAGCAGCCTAAGAAAGGAAACACTGGCAACATCAACATATATCCTTGTGTTCTCCCCCAGTCTCTTACCCCTCCTGATATAACTACCATCCAGACTTGGTATTTATCATTCCTATCCATTTCTGTATGTACTTTACTATTTATGCAAGTACCCCTAGCAATGAACAGCAGCTTTGCTTGTTTTAAAACTTTATATCAGTGGTACCATATATATGTATACTTCTGCGACTTGCTGAGAGTTTGAAAGATATATTCATATTGATATTACTTCTAGTTCATTCCTTTCCACTACTAGTATAGTACTGTACTACATGAATATGTCATACTTTATTTATCCATTCCTTTGCTGATGAATATTTAAGTGATATTCCAATT